CTGGCCTGCGTCTTTCCACTGCTCCAGTGAAAGCTTCTTTGAGCCCATCAAAGCGAGCCATGTCAAATGGTATCATACAGACAATTGACAGCCATAACAGGAGAACATAGCGTGCTTCCCAGGTCTGATGGACAAAAAGTTATCATAATTACTGAACAGTCTTAAAGTTTTTTTAACTGAATGGTTAAACAGATAAGAATGCTAAATTACAAAACTATTCAACTACATGTAACTACAGTAAGTGTTAATAAAATAAAAATTATCTAGCAGCAACACAGTCATTTCTGCCAATTGTTTGACTCACCTTTAAATCATTTGACATGAATCTATTTTTAATTATATAAATTTGTTTAAAATCAATTACTAGTTTATTTTTGTTAATGACCAATCTTTGCTGTGTGCACACTGCACTGAGAGGTATACATACATACAAAGTACATACTTAGTTATTAATTTAGAACAGTGTATAAATGACTGCCACATTAAAACCAAATCTAGACAACAAGAGTTTGCATATATGCACCTCATGATCTTGAGGATTTTGTTGAGAAAGCATTCCAAGAACTGGTTCTACATCAGTGACTTCATGAGAAAACAGTCGGACCACATGCTTGGGTCCTCTAACCTGGAAAGTTAAAATTAAATTTATAATGTACCCATGAGTAACACAAAAATGTATATACATTTATAATTTACTACTCCCTCTCTCGTTTCAAATCTTACTAAATCTATTAACTAAAGTTGCAATCAATCAATCACCTGGTAAGTCATTTATCAACCCTATCAGTGCCTATAAGTGCTACACAAATAACAGTATTTATTTCATGAAACAAGCAAATAAAAATCAACAACAAACTGTTGTGCTTACATGTATGGTCTACTAATTCATTGAGTAATTTTACTGGTTAGTAATCAAAATCAATTTTTGCATATAAACCTTGGTTATGAGATAGAGATATTTAAAGGCCTGCTTTATCACTTTGACTGGGTTTGACAGATCACGCACTATATGCTGCAGTTTCTGTACAAGACATTCTGAAAATAAAATAAGACATAAAATGTGTTTTGTAGTTACCACAAGGCAGTCACACACACAAAAAAAGCTGGAGCCACATCAGCAACAATGAAAATCAATCTTAAATGCCAACAACAACAACAACAACAACAACTTGTAAAAACAGCTTCACATGTACCTAAATGCGGATCCAGCAGATGTGGTTGCTCTTGGTAATTATTCAGTATAACTGCAAAGAAAGATTATATGTTAGCTAATTTGTTTATTTTAAAAAGAAGTTTTAAAATTGTACTGTCTAAACTCAGGCATTCTCTCTGTGTATCAAAATGATCAAGTCTTGGCACTGCATGTAGGTGTCTCATACAAACATGCAAGCAAAGGGAACAGAACTGCAAGCCAGTGTGAAAATATGGAGCAGGTGGCTCACCCCCTTCCCACTTCTCCCCATTTTTTGCTAACCCCAGGTGAGCTCGTTCACTCACATGCTTGCTCCATCTCCCCACCTAGAAAATGAATTTAGGAAAGGAAATGTCTGCTATGTAGGCCAAGCATGGTTTTAATTTACCCACAGCTTCATATCCTTTTCCAAGTTATAAGTCAAATCCTTTTTTTCTCTCTCTTTCAGAATGTTTTTTTTTTCTTTTTTTTTTTTTACTGCACTCATTTTGAAACCAAGGCGTCTTAATAGCTCAATCAATCAATAAATGTTACCCTTATAATCAAAATAGATCAGAACATATAATTATTAAATAATGAATGAATGCATCTGTTATATATTGTTGAACTTGACACTGTTCTTTAACGATGGATTTTGAAGCCAGTTCGCTTATATTGTTTCGATTCAAAGGCACAGCTGATAGCAATAAATTTAGTGCTTTGTCAATGCACAAAATTTGCTATAGAATCGAACAAAAAATGAAAGTTAGGCAGCTGTTCTCCCATCAGCTAAACTATCGACTGCAAGGTGCTAAGCTATAATTACGGGGGTATATAAACCAGGTTTAAAACTTAAAATATAGCATCAATGCATGGACAAGACTGACTAAAGGGCAGCATAGTATATCTTGACAGGTAAACAGGAGAAAAAACAAAGCGAACTTACCAATAAATCGTTCTTCTGCAGCCTCTAGTAAGATATCATCATGGCATATAGATCCTATAGATTCGATCAATGTTGTTACTTCTTGCACTTCAGTAAAATGATCCAGACTGTAACTCAGCGATTCGTCTTTGACCGCCATTTTTATTTTGGTCCAGTTACCAGTCCCTTGAGTGACAAACAACACGGTCGTCATGTAGCGACGTCAAGTGCTGGGAATTGGAACTTATTGCCTTGTTAACTGCAAATATCGTTGCTTTGTTCAATACCAAATAATTCCGGACTGTCCGATCCTTCCACTACCGATCTGCTATCCACCTCCTGCCCGCCCAGAGACTTTCGGTCAGCGGTTGGTCTCCGAGCGTCCAGACTTCGCGAAGGGCTGGTCAACCCAAGGTGTGGTGTTGCTGTAGCCATTTGTCGGTATTCAGTAACCATTTACTGAGGGTGGTAAAGGATATTTTCGTGATTCGTGAATGGCCTAATTTGTTTTCCCGTAAATGTGAAATGGCTTGTTTTTTTCTCGTGAATCGTAATTTCATTAGGAGCCGTGAACCATGATTTTCCAAAATAATTCTCCGTGGAATGAGGGGGACATGGAAATTTGCGGTGTTGCAGTGTTGATGTTTTTTTAATGCGGTGATGCGGTGAATAAAATCTCAACTTGCGGTGTTGCGGTGATCTCAAACCCTACGGTGTGCGATGTTTGTGTTTTTCACGCTGCGGTGTTCGGCGAAATGAAATTGTTTGCGGTGCTGGGGTTTTTGATGCTAAATTTGACCTAAACTTAGCATGTAAACTTTGTTAATCGGAGCTAATTTATGACAAACACGTTCCATTGAGGTTAATAATTTATATAAAAAAAATACAGATCATCGCTTTCTAGTCAATCTTCAATATGCTTCGGCTGCCAATCCGAAGCTGTTTTCATTTATACGTAACTTGACAGGGAACTCGACCTCTGCCACCCGGAGCTCAGTGTTCGGTAGACACGTGGAGGAGCGAGGACAGAAACAATGTGTTTATTTTGTGGAAAATTGTTGAGGTATAAAAAGTATTATTTTAAGTGTAGGTGAACGAATCATGGCGCGAAAAGAACGTGTTGGGGTGACGGTGTTTCGTTAACTTTTCTTGCGGTGAGGCGGTGTTCGTTAAATCTTTTTGCGGTGTTGCGGTGTTTAGAACCCCCCGATGTCCCCCTCTGGAATGAGAAAGAAATATTTTATCAGTAGCGAACCGTAATTCTGGTTGTGTACCGTTGTGTCCTATTATTTTCGACAGTAATTAACAATATTGCGTGACCGTGACAGGACAATCATTCCTCTTCATGATTTCTTCATAGCTGGTTTTCAAATGACGTCACTAAAATTCGAACTACAAAACTATTGATCTTCCTGAGATTTTACTTAAATGATGTATAAGAGCAGCTGAAAACTAATATTCATACAAA